AAAAAAAAGGACATTTGAGGAGGTGGGTGCCGGCATTAACAACTGTGTGTCTTCCGTGTTGTGGTGAAGTGTGCTGACATGTGGACTCTGCGTCAGTCGGTAACGTGACCACCACGCATGGGTAAAATGGTGCGTTCCGAGGGTGCGCAGGACAGACCAGTGGCTTCCCCGTCGGAAAGTGTGGGCAGGTCACGGGCACAGTGTCAGGTCTCAGGCTCCACGTTGCAGCTTTCCTTAGGAAACTACTGTTTGTTGAATTTCGGCCTGATGTCAAAGAACATCCACAGTTACCTGAAAACTTTCTCAGTTTTAATTTCGGAAATACTGATCTATTCCACATAAACAGAAGCTTTTTGGAGCCCTCCGTTTTTAAGAGTGTAAAAGAGCCCTGAGAGCAGAACATTTGAAAGGCTGCCTGTTCCTAAGTTGCTTCCTGGCCATTTGCTTGTGCTGTGAGCAGAGCAGTTGGGAGGCTCTGGCTTGCGTGCGTCTTTAGATGTGAGCTTCCACAGCGTTCGTCCAACTTCAGGTTAGTGGGAAATGGAGCACTTTGCAACTGAGAAAAAATACTGCACTGAGAAATGTAGAAAGATAATTTTACATTATTTCAGTGCATTCCGTGCTCATAGATTGTTCTCATGTTCCCAGTTTCAGGGATGACCACCTTCCTTTTCCTTCCCGGGGAAAGCGCTTCTTACCACATTGTGATTGCAGGTTCCTGAGCGTATCCTTCCTGCCGCGCACTGTGTGGTGTACGACCACACACCACATCCAAGTTTTGTTAGGGACTCAACATGGGTTTTTGTTCTTTTGTCTTGATACACACTCTTTTGTTGCATTGCTGAAATTTTTATTAGAATTTCAATGTTGAAGAAATTATCAAAACGTCAACTTTGCAAAGATAAAGTCGAGATAAATGAATCAGATCTAAAATGATTTGATCTATTCTGAATATACTGTATGTCATTCCACACACAGAAATAACTAGATTTTCCATTTTCCTTTTTTAAAAATCGATTATTCAGAACTCAAATCCAGAAATGTGTTTTTCAGGTTAATGTGTATTATAAATTTTTCATTTCTAAGTACGTTTTAATTTCTTTGCTTTTATAAATACTCAATGTTATGAAATATAAAAGTAAAGTTTATTTTTAGTTCCTTCTGAGAAGTAAAGGCATCTGAACGTTGAAGCCTCGATTTGAGATGCATTTACCACGTTTGAGAGATTTGGTGGCCATGATGGTGGATTTGGCTAATCTGAGTGGAATGGATGCTGTCTCTTTAAGAGGAGTTGCCTCAGAATGTTTGTCTTTGTTCTGGGGTCACTAAGGAGACCACAGTTGTAGTACCCACCCAGAGGGCAAGGGAGGTGGAGGTGAGGGCTCAGCTTGAGAGGGGCTTGGGGAGGGGCGCTCGGGGCCAGAGTGTGAAACGTGTGAAAAGATCAGCATTGAGGATTTATCCAGGAACAGACGCCTGTTCAGTGTGCATTTCAACTAGGTATGGTTCTTTGCAGGACTATAATCTAGGAGAACTGTTTTTTAAATTCATGTAGATGAAATGTAGCATTACTTAACATCGATGTTAAGTAATTATTAGTCTTCTGAAATCTTATTTGGGCTTTTAACTAAATGATGGCATATCTCCACTATTAAGAATTTTTAAATACTTCTCTTTGTGGATGATTTTGTTCAGCCTTTTCATGTTTCGTGTTTCTCTCTATGTTTGGCTTTATCGAGCTGAGCCCATCTCAAAAGTAGGATCATAATTGGAAAGCAGCTGATAGCCAGCGACTGGTTTGGAAACCACCATGCTGCTGAGGCCTCTGCACAGTTAGGGGTGGCTCCCCCGTGCCCCCCCCCCCCACGCACATGCACCTGCCAGCACCTGCCGGCCCTCAGTGGCCCGGCCTGGCCGCCTTCTGTCAGGGTGCAGTCACAGTGCCCTCCCTTCTGCAGAAGCCCTTAAAGAAGGGGACTATGTTCTTTCCTTTCCTTTTTTTTTTTTTTTCTGACTCCCCGAGTGGGTCACATGATGACATAAACTCAAGTAATAGATTATTTGGAAAGTCTGATGCCTTTTTTTTTTTTTTTTAAACAGTTATTTGAATCTATAAATGATTTTTTTATTTTCTTTTAGGAGCTTACGCCGTGGGAACAGTCCTGAGATGATCTTCATTGTTACCTGTGAGCAGTGACTGACAGCAGCGGTGTCTGAGGCGGGCTGTGTCTGTGGACCAGGCGATTCCATCCGTCAGGCACTCGGACCTCTGGAAAAGGTGTCCGAGCTTCGGTTTGGGGCAGGTAATGCAGCACCAGCAGCAACATCAGCAACACAGTTTTCTCTTAATAGGTTTGAAATTGTGTGTCCTGTTTCTGAAGTGGCATTTTATGTGACAGACATACGGTGTAACGTTCATATTTGTTTATTTAGAATATTCTAAACTTTAGCCCTAAGTGTTTAGACGAGTGTTCAGCCACATGCTGAGAATTTTTTTTTTTAAGGTTTTATTTATTTATTTGAGAGAGAGAATGAGAGACAGAGAGTACATGAGAGGGGGGAGGGTCAGAGGGAGAAGCAGACTCCCTGCCGAGCAGAGAGCACCATGCGGGACTCGATCCCAGGACTCCAGGATCATGACCTGAGCCGAAGGCAGTCGCTTAACCGACTGAGCCACCAGGTGCCCCATGCTGAGAATTTTTACTCAAGGCACTCTTTTACTTTTCCTCTGGCATTTTGTTGGTGTGAGTACTTGACATTGTATACTCTTCGGTGAGAGCTATGTTTTGTTGAGGAGAGTTCTTCCTGCACAAGATCTCAGGACCAGAAAAGTGGTGTGGTCCTTGCTGGCACACATGCTGACGTCCCAGCCGCTCCCGTAAGCCTCCGAATGGCCTGGGAGCATGCTGGCCAGGCTCCGGAGGGAAGGGTTGGTAGAGCCAGCAGGAAAATGGGGGACAGCACGTCATGGGAAATAAAAGAAAAAAAAAAAAAACAATCTGGTTGCATGTGGTTTTGAATTTTGTGTATTTTGTATTTTGAAGGTTTTCATCCCATCACAGTCCTTGCCCTACGATGGAATGTGGTGTAAAGGCTGAGTCAGCATTAGTGTTTCAATTCGATTGAAGCCTGGTTAGCTTTGAAAAAAATTTTCAAGGTATATACTTTTTCAGGTTTGAAAACAGGAGTTGAGTTTTCACAAGCATGATCCTTTAATAGTCTATCAAAAACTGAGAAAGAACAAATGTACATAAAGCTATTCCCCGTCATTTTCTAAAGTGGCCAAGTTACCTGTTGCTGCGTAACAGCTAACCCCGGAGTCGGGGCTCAGGAATCTGGGCAAGCCTTAGCTGGGCGATCCTTATGTGCACGAGGTGTCTATAGGGGACACTTGCACTTGGCTCGCAGCAGGGCTGGGGTGCGGGGTGCCATTCTCTCTAGCAGGGTGGTCGGACCACTTACATAGCAGCTCAGGGCTCTGCAGGCCAGGATGGAAGCAGCCAGTCCTCTTCTGCACCAGGCCTCGAGCCACCCTGGCACTCCATCCTCTGTGCCCGGGGTGGGTGTTGGGGGGCGGGGACAGGTGCGCGGCGCCTCCCAGCTGCAGCCCTGCCCTGCTCACGCCCTTGCACTGCGTGTGCTATTCACCGCTGGATGGGGCTTCTCTGCCCCCTGTGTGGTGGAGCCCTGTGCTGAGCAGCGAAGTGCTGGCGGGGGCCGGCTTTGAGTTGCTGGTTGCAGCTGTGTCCTGAAAGTTAGATGTGTGACTGTGGAGACTTCTGTCCAGAGTCCCCTCACATCTTCTCTCATGCTACTTTTTAGGAAACCTTGATCAGGATAACTCATTTGAATGTTCACCTTCACTTTGTATAGGTGGCCATGCTCCCTCCTTTGTGTGAATTAAAGGCTGTGTGTACTTGTAGCTCAAGGATTGTTAATTATTTGCCAAGAAGTGTTGCCTCATTAACATTGCTCATGGTGTGGTTCCATTTCACCGTTAGGTATGGATGAGAAAGGTGACCCGAGCAATGACGAAGTGCCCAAGGCCATCAAGCCCACCAGCAAAGAATTCAGGAAAACGTGGGGCTTTCGAAGAACCACCATTGCCAAGCGAGAGGGCGCTGGGGACGCCGAGGCCGACTGTCTAGAGCGGCAGCCCCAGCAGCAGCAGAGCCTCTCCTTGCGCCGCAGTGGGAGGCAGCCGAAGCGGACCGAGCGGGTGGAAGAATTTCTTACGACGGTCCGACGAAGAGGGAGGAAGAATGCGCCTGCCTCCCTCGAGGATTCTAGTGAACCAGCGTCTTGTCCCGTCACAGATGTGGAGACGGCGTCTGAAGGCAGCGTGGAGAGCACCTCTGAGGGGAAGGGCGGGCCCACGTCGGGCTCCACGGGTGATAAGGAACGACCAGCCGCCTCAGCAAAGGCCAAAGGGGGTGAGGACGAGGATGACACCTCTGACAGTGACAGCGATGGGCTGACTTTGAAAGAACTTCAGAACCGCCTGCGAAGACAGCGGGAACAAGAGGCGGCCGACAGGCCCCCCAAGAGCCTCCAGAGCCGCCTGAGGAAGAAGCGCCGGGAGCAGGATCCCACGCAGACCGTGGACGTGGAGGCGGGCAATGCCACGGAGAGCGTGCTGCCCCGCAAGCAGGAGCCCGAGGCTGAGCAGGGTGCGGTGTCCCAGGCTGAGAAAGACTGTGGAGAAAGGGAGCTGGAAGGGAAGGCTCAGGGAATCGAAGGTGGAGACTCCGGGGACGTGGGCAGGCAGAAGCCCGAGTGTGAGGCCTATGAGCCCAACGCTCTGTACTGCATCTGTCGTCAGCCACACAACAACAGGTAGGCCACAGCCTGGGGGGTGCCGGTGGCCCCCAGCTTCCAGAGAGATCCAGGCTGTGAAAACAGCAAGGGAAGGTTCTGTTCATTTTGAGGGGACGTGTTCTAGAGCTGGGCTGCACGAGTAACTTACCCAGTTGGAAAGGATGAAAGAGGCATTGATGAAAAAAAGAAGCCACAGAAGGGTAGCCATATGACTTCCTCTAGCCGTATGGGGCTCCCCACTGCCACGGGGCGGCGGGGGGGTATGAGACAGCACAGACTGAGGTGCTCCCGTCATCCTAGAGGTCTCTTGCATAGCGCCGCTCCGGACTGTCCTGGAGGAGCACCCATGAGCAAGCGGGCTGTGACCGGGCTGCAGTTTGAGCATCTAGAGCCTGTCTGGGTGCTGGGTGGTATTGGGGAGCTGCCGCCTGGGGTGTTTGGCGGGACAGAGGAATGTGCTGGTCCGTGGAGACGTGTGCAGGGTCTCCAGGCTGGAATGCTGGTCAGCCTGCAGCTCACTCTCAGAGTGCTCCCCTCAGGAAAAAAAAAGACTACAAATTTGTTTGAAGGCTAATAAAGTCAAGAGAAGTGCTTTTGAATGTTCTTTATTCTGTTCTTTACTTTTTTTTATTTTGCTTTTTTTCATAATAAGGTGTTAAAACCAGTTCACTAGTTCAGCTTTTAATGTTCCTAAAATTGTTAATCATGTTTTCCATTCCTAATGCCAGTATTTTTTTAATTTTAGGTTTATGATTTGCTGTGACCGATGTGAAGAATGGTTTCACGGCGACTGTGTGGGCATCTCTGAGGCCCGGGGACAGCTTCTGGAAAGGAACGGTGAAGATTACATCTGCCCAAACTGCACCATTCTGCAGGTGCAGGACGAGCCGGACTCCGGAAGCGCAGCACAGCAGGAGGCCAAGTGCGGGCCTGCCGGCGCGGATGGCACGGACTGTATGAGCATGGGAACGGTGGAGCAGAAGTCCAGCGAGGACCAAGGAATTAAGGGTAGAATTGAGAAGGCTGCGAACCCAAGTGGCAAGAAAAAGCTCAAGATATTCCAACCTGTAAGTACTTGCCTGCGAGGCCAGTGATAGAGGGTCAGCAGAAAAGTCAAGCCTCTCTTGGAGCAGGTTAGGCTTTTCCCTCCAGACGGCAGTGTGTTTGCCGCGGGCTGGGCTCTGGGAGCAGGCAGTCCCCTGCACGTGGCTCGTGGGCCTCCCACGCTCCATGATCCTGCAGGACACCTCGAGGGACCTTTCTTTTTTTTTCTTTAAGATTTTTTATTTATTTATGTGACAGAGAAAGAGAGCACAATCAGGGGGAGTAGTAGGGAGAGGGAGAAGCAGGCTCCCCACTGAGCAAGAAGCCCGACTGCAGGACCCCGGGATTATGACCTGAGGCGAAGGCAGTCGCCCAACCGATTGAGCCACCTAGGCATGCCGGGGCCTTTCTTTCTTTAAGTCTTGTCTGCTTTCTATACTATTACTATTGAGTTAATGTTTTCCTTAAACGGATTCATTTTTTAAAATTAGTTTTTCCTTAAATGTTCTTTCTGGAATGTCGATCTTCACATACACATATTAACAAAGGAAGTAAACGTGCACCTGTTTGACCTGACCCCATCATCCTGAGAGAGCTGGTGCTCTGAGCCTCCCGGGGTGGGGGGGTTGGGCGGGGGACACACCACTTCATCCCTGGCATCCAAGGCACCTCCCACGGCTGCTGTTGGTGTCACCCTCTGGAACAGTCTCAGGCGCTGTCTGGTAGGGCCATGGTTCTTTGTCACATCTCTCCTGTGTCGTCAGCTTCTGATACTGAGGAACACCGTCACAGGCTCTCATGAGCATGTCCCCCCAGCCCTTCCTGAGTCCCTAGACAGCCTTGAAGTGGAGGCCTGTGCTTTCGCAGGCATTGGGCGTACAGGAGCTTTGAGGGCTGTGGGAGCCTCGAGGTGGAAGTGCTGTGAGGTCCAGACCATTGAAGAAATAGCCTGGAGATGTCAGGACATACTGCGTGGGGATGTGATGTGAACTGTTCGTATCGCATTTGGTCATTCAGAAAAATTCGTGGAAATGGGACAGTGGGAAAAGTCACCTTAATTTCATGTCTTTATCTTTGATGTTTGAGGCTGCATAAGCTTAGATTTTATTTTTGGTCAGATTTGGATTCTGTGGAAGAAGAACAGTTTCAGAATACCTTGGAGAAATAAGATTTGGCTCAAGTACATTTGAGGGATAGATTAGGTCTCTTTAGATCCCTCTTGCTGCATAACAAGTGAGCATGTCTTAGCAGCCTCACACAACACGTATTTATTAGCTCAGCTTCCATGGGCCCGAAGCCTGGGCCTGGCTTAGCCGGGTCTCTCCACGGTTTCTTAAGAGATGGCACCCGGGTGCCATTGTAGGCTGGGGCCTCATCAGATGGCTCAGTTGGGGAGGAATCTACCTCTGAAAGGCTCCAGTGGTTTTGTGTCTAAACGTGCCCTTTGATATGTCTGGGGCTCAGCGGTGCTAAAAGTCACTCATGTTTGAAATGCACATTGAATGGTTGTTCCTGGATTGCGTCTGGTAGCTCACCCTCGGACCCTTGCCACTGGGGCTCCCTCACAAGGCCATTTGCTGCTTCAAAATCAGCAGTGGAGTCTTTTCTCTATTGCAAGGCCCAGTCCCTCTTCTGACATTTTCTGTTAATGAAGCAGACCTTTTCCGTAGCCCAGAATGGTCTCATTTGGAACCTTGGTTACATCTATCTGCAAAACTCCCTGCCTGTTTGCCCTGCAATGGAACCTAATTATGGATGTGAAACCCCATTGTGTTGAAAAGTCCCCAGAGTCTCTGTGCCAGGGCAGAGTCCTGGGGTCGCCTCCCAACTCTGCCCGCCACAGATTGCATGAAGTGTAGTTACTGTGAGTGCCTTGCCATGGGATAGATTGGGTCAGGCGCTTTGAAGAAACAAAGACATGTTTTTATTGGTATTAAAAATGCTGTTAGCGTCTCCATTAGAAATAGCGAGCCCAGTAGTATAAATAGGAATTGTACAAAGTGCTGTAACTGCTCAAGTTGGTAAGTATGTTGTTTGAAGCCACGTGTTTCGTTCTGCAGGTTGCAGAGGCTCCTGGTGCCTCAAAATGTATTGGCCCTGGGTGCTCTAACTTGGCGCAGCCTGACTCGGTTTACTGCAGCAGTGACTGTATTCTCAAACACGCTGCTGCTACGATGAAATTTCTAAGTTCAGGTAAAGAACAAAAACCAAAACTTAAAGAAAAGATCAAGACGAAGCCAGAAAAGCTCATTCTCCCAAAATGTAGCGTTCAGGTAAGTTGATCAAGTCCAGCCGTTTGAATTGTTGTAGTGAGACGGGTTTGCATGTTGCAGGCAGGCGCTGTTGATTGGCTTGTGGCGCATGGGGGACAGCAGGCACAGACAGAGCGCCAGTGGTACCCGCCGACTCTTCCAGCCTTCCACGCTTTCCCTGCACTCTGATGCTGCCCCCGCTCTCGTGGAGGGCGTCGTTCGTGCTGACCGCAGTGCGGCAGGCGTGGGAGCCGAGCCTTCCATCTGGGACCTGCGGTCCTGGGAGAAGAGCTGGTGTTTGTCAGAGATTCGCAAGCCGCCGAGGGTGGGGAGGTGGGTCTTGGGCGGCCAGACTGTGTGCCTCGCTTCGAGCCCTCGCTCGCAGAACTGTCTCTATCCTGTGCTAAGTGTGACCTGGGAAGAGTCGCTTGTTTGACCCTCGAGGCCCTCGCCCAGAGGTTGAGCTCAGGCTGGTGTGACTGCGTTGCAGCCCCCATTACATCTGTGACGAGCAAGGCATTAAGCGGTGCTGCTCGGGAAGTCCTCTCCGGGTTTTTCAGCGCTTGCTTGGCCTTTAGATGGCGTAACTTTTACGGCTGGTGGTCTGAGTCCCAGGACTCCCAGAGCAGCGGTTGCTGTGCAAAGTACCGTGGCGACCATGCCGAGCACCTGGCAGGGGCGGCGGGACACCGTGTTCCTCCAGTCTCCCAGTGGCCCCAGGGTTTGCCTGGCGCCCAGGTCCTTGTTTGTGTCCCTCCCTCCACATCCCTTGGATGTGTGAGTGTAGCCCAGCCCTGCTGCTGAGCAGATGCTGAGCCCAAGGTCGGGGTGGTGAGGGGCTTCAAATGACCCCAACCATAGAGCGTATCGTGACCTTCATTGCGAAGCGTGAGGAGCGAAGGCTTCTCTCTGGCCTCCTTAATGATTGGGGTTTTGCTGGTTATCCAGGCAGGCATTAGAATCTCTGCTATGCACAAGAGACCGGCTCCAGACAAGAAAGAGAACACCGTGAAGAAGGCAATGGTGGCCCCGTCGAGGAGTGAGGTCCTCATGAAGGAAGCGACCAGTGAAGGCACGCCGTCCTGGGCAAGCGACCACAATTACAATGCAGTAAAGCCAGAACAGACTGCTGCTCTCTGGCCGCCACTGTTGTATAAATGTATGTATCACTTAGGGGTAGCGTCTGGACCCTTCCTGGTCTTTCTGGACAGCCGTCACTCGGGCCTGTTCAGGACCAGGAGCTCTAGCCATATTTAATGCTGCACCTGCAAAGACAGAAGCAGATGCCTGAGCCCCACATGCCTCGAGCCCCATGCACCACCTCAGTCTGTTGGCCCTTCCTGTCAGTACAAACCTCAAAAAGCTGTACAAACCTCATTGCTAAATGTCTCACCTGGCAACCGATCTCTTTAATCTCCTTAATTTTCATTGTTGTGCTCTGGTAAGTATCTGTGTGGTCTTCAGTGAGGTCACGCTGGGTAGACGTGCTCCTGGCATCCAGACTCTGGCCGCACGGCCCTTGCAGCCTTGTCTTGGCCCCACTGGCTTAGGAGTCTCTCCACCTCGTCTGCTGTCCGCACAGGGAGTCCTCACTTTCCTCTTATGGGAATCCACTTCTGCAGATAGTATCGCACCTGATACTCAACTTGTGTGATTTTTCAGGAGTTACATTATTTTTGATCCAACAGGAATTTTTTTCGTGTGCAATTCAAATACTACACACCCACACACACACCCACACACACACACACACACTCTCAAGCTTTGAAGGCTGTTTACCGCTGCTCCATATGCTCCAAGGTAAGTGAGTGTGATGTGCTGGCCCTTGGGGCAGTGCCCTCCCTGAAGGGAGAGTGCCTGCAGTAACTGGGACCTGACTCTCTCCTGGAGGCTTGCACTGTCGGGTCAGACCCCCTCGCTCCCAGACAGTTCCCACAGCTGTGTGGGGCACTGCTCTAGATCATGCAGCTGGGTCTTTTCTCTCCATCCTGGCTTCTCAGCCAAGCACTCCAAAATTAAATTTGGAAATTTAAAATTGATCCATAGAACACATCTTACTATTATTAAGATTATTTTCACTCAGTTTTAGTTCATGTTGTCTTTTATGTTGTTTTGTGCCTTTTACAAAAGTACCAAAAGCCACGTAGCTTTAAATTCCAAGACCGTAGGTGTGTGCTGCTCCCTCCTGTGGCCAGGCGTTCCCGCAGGTCCGTACTAGAGCTGACGGGGTTGGGAAAGTGCGAGGAGGACCCCAAACCTGCGGGAGGTGGGTGGGGTGGGGGAAGTTAGGAGAGAGCTCTCTTCCATTATGGGATTAGCTGATTGCTGTATTAAAATGAGTCCCTGCTACGCCTTAGGTGGTTTGAGCTACTTCCATGCTAGCAGCACGTCTCAGATCTTCAACAAAGCACTTTTACGAGTCATGCACATATCTGAAAGTAAGCATCGCGGACCAGTGAGCACCGGGGGGGGGGGGGGGGCGGAGCTGTCGCTTTGGAATACTGTGCTCCAGTGCTCTGAGTTGGTCATAGGCACATAACAGAATGAAACAGTGCGGTGGACCACAGAAGCCCTGGGTGGCTGGCTTCAGTACAGCTCCGTCTCTACCAGCAGACTTGGAAAGCTGCCTCAAGGCTCCCAGTGTTCATGGGGGAGGGTAGGAAACCTGGATGGCTCCTGTCCCTGGGTTCTTTCCCCTCACTCCATCTTTGAGGGCGAGGGAGGCCCAGGAGAAGGCCTGCTTCTCAGCTCCTCTTCACCCCTGCCTGCTCTTTTCTGCACATCAGTCAGCTCCTCACTGACACTCGACCTACTTCAGTTGACAGAAAGCTGGGACAGATGACTGACGGCCCTTCTCAGCACATTTACATCTCAAAATTAAAGCTGATGGATACCCAAAATGTATAGCATGCATGAGGGACATACTTCTGAGCTAGTTGCTTTTGATCCTTTTTTGTTATCTCAGAAATGTCATCTTCCAGTCACTGGTAAAATACCCGACTTCAGCCTCGGTGAGTAGCAGCCTCGCCCCCAAACCATCACCTCACAGTTGGGGTATCAGGTAGCGTGCACACACACAGCAGAACCCTCCGACCCCACAAGGACCCCCATCTGCCTTTCTGGCTGGCTGCAGAGCATGTTTTTCTGGGTTGGGGTGGCTAGATTTGGGGTACAGCTGGTATTGGGACCGTGGTTAGAAGTGTTCCCACATTGACCTGGGTACATGTCACATCTGTGGGTACATCCCCTATTCCGCCTATAGAACCCACTGTTGAGGGAGTGATACACGGCTTGGGAGGTGCCCTGGGCTTCCCTCTCCTCCCCAGGCCACTGCTGCTGACCTTGGGTCATGGGTAGGGACGGCTGTCCGTGAAAGGGTGTGAGGGGACCTCCCATTAAACAGGGACTTGGAGGCTCTGTCTGCTTCTCCCCACGAAAGGATCAGCAGATGCTTTGTGTCCTCCAGGTGTTGTGATTCACATAGTGCGGTTCTTCTCCCCAATTCCTGTATGGCTGCTTTTCACGTATAGAAGCCACTGCTGCTTTATTTACTTCCCTAAATCATCATGTTTCTTTGTTTTGATAACATTTTTTTCTGTTCTTTTTCAATGTTGGGTCAACCTCCCGCTGTTGTCAAGGCATGAAGAGGGCTGAAAACTTTTTTTTTCTAAAATGTCCCTGTTTTATTAGTGTTTGGAAGTGGAATTCTGATATTCGTAGGCACAATCCCTGGTATCTGGGACCCCTTAAATGGCTTGGGGGACTTAAAACACTGGGATTCTGAACAGATTTTGATTGGAAAATGAGATCTCTAGTTTCATCTAGCTTTGAGAATTAGAATGCAAAACCCAAACCACCTATACACCCAGATTCAGATGATTTGGTAAAGCAATGTGATGCAGATAGAAGTATTTCTCCTATAAGTTCACGGGCAAGCCACACAGATGGTTCACCTGCTTGTGAAATGGAACAAGGAGAACACGGATTGTCACGAGGATAACTAGAGGCGTGGGCTCCAGAGACACACTTCCGAAGTCCTAAGTGGAAACCAGTTTCCTATAATAAATATGTGGGGGATACTAGGACCCAGGAATGTTTTGTAGAAATGTAAATCCTTGGGTGTGCACAGTTACGGATTTTATCAGTTACGTGAGCCATTTTTAATCTATTTCAGAGTTGTCATTGGCAATAAAATATGGTTGGGGACAAATCAGACCTGGTACATCTGAACCAAGGTTCTCTCCCCCAGTTAGAGGGAAATCCAAAACATGTACTGATGAAGGATGATGTAGCTTGACAACTCTTGATGCTCTCCATACGACTGGAATTTCCTTGGCGCTCAGTGATACTCTTGGTATTTCAGACTTTTACTTTTCACAAGCTTAAAAAAACCCTGGTTAACTTCAGAAAATTAGGTCAGGGAGGTTTCACGTGTACACAGACTTGAACGTTGGAGATGAAACTGCCAGTAGTGCCCAGTGCTCCCCCTTAGTCGTGCTGCAGCCGCTGGAAGTTTCCAGCAGGATTGGCCTCCCTCCACCTGCCCTCCAGTGAACTTGGGGAGCTGTGGGTCTACTCTGATGTCTAAAGACAGATGCTATGGGGCAGTCCCTTTGGTGTTATCTGTTCTAGAGTCCACGGTTCTCTCTGACGATGCCACCGTAACCCTTCCCATACGGCACATGAGTTTCAAGGGCATTTGCATTAAGTTGTAGCATTCTTGATTTGAAGTGTGACGATGCGTCCCCGTGCACATAGCTATATTTGCTTCCGCAAACCAAAGAAGTTTTGCTGAAATGAAGGCTGGGCCCTCTTCTAGTGCCAAGAACCTGGAGAAGTTCAGCCAGAAGCACGCAAAGGTAACTGCTGCAGAGCCCCAACTCTGGTCTGCACAGGGCCAGCAGCCTTGGGGTTTTCTGCGCAATGGGACCCTTTGGGACAAGGGATGGACGGAAGGGTCAGTGGGCTCTCCTAACATGTCCCTAGCCCCCTAGGTGGGTTGGGTGAACTAGTAGACAATTTGGGTACAAATGATACTGGTTAAAAATCTCACCTTATTAAAACTATGGTCATGCCTGTTAACCAGTTTGAGAGATTGCAGGAAAGCAGCCGCTCCACTCCCAAGTGAGTCTCGGGCCTGGCATCCGGTCCTGCACGCACAGTGGGCCGCTCCCCAGATCCCAGTCATGTAGTCGAGAGGAGGCACCTGTCTCCCCACATGGCCTCAATTCCATTTTGTCTGAGTGGTTCATGTGGTGGAAGGACAATCTGACCGGTTCTTTTATAGATTACCCATCCAGCCTGAATCAGGCTTTGGGTTCATTTTCAAAATACAATGTGTGAAACTACTACAATGAGGAAGGGTGACTTGCTTCCCCAGGTATATACTTGTTTTTTGTTTTGGGGTTTTTTCCCCCCTTTTTTACAAGTGGAGAGTTCTGTGTGTCTCCATTAAGGTGTAAGTCACTCAAATATTGGACATGAGGAAGAAAAAAGCCTAGAAAAGCTTTGTGGAGTCCAAGCCATGACAATTTGCCTGGGGATCTTCATAAAGATGCCCTTAAGATTGAGGTCTAGTCCGAAGAGCATCAGGAATGTAGCTTTTGTTTTTTGAGTGTTAATTTGGGAATTATACATGTTTTCTGATACAAAAGCAAATTGGTACTTGGTTATGTTTCCAGGAAAACTCACTTTAAAATATTCAAGCAACGGCACAAAAAGCAAAATGGTTTTCTCTTGCTACTGTTAATTTGACTTTTCACACCAGGAGAAATCTTGCCAGTCAGCATGGAAGTGGGTAACTTCGTTGTGCACGTGTCCCGCTGAGCTGAGTGTAGAACTGCCGCCCCAGCCCCAGAACGCACGGCGCGGCGCCCCACTGTGTGCTCTCTGAGCCCCGGCCTTGCCTTTCCTGCGGTGGAGACCGTGGGGCAGTGTCTGCATTTAGGACCCCTGGGAGTGGGGGGCACATGGAGGTTGCTGGCGGTGGGAATCGGGCCGAGTTTTGGAGCCACTGGGGCGGGAACACGTGTGGTGTCTCAGTTGGGACCTTTGGGGACTCACCTGCACCGTGGATACACCCATACCGGAACCTTTGTCACACCAAGTCACTGTTCTTTTTTTGGCTATTCCAGCCAGTCACTGAGTGAGCCCACCTGAGACCAGTGTGACCCATCTGGGGATTTTTAGGGTAAACTGGTACTAGTTTGGGCAGGACCAGAGCACAGAAGGTTTAGAGCAATTTGCCGCTGCCCTGAGGGTTTCTCACCGGTCCCTGTAAAGGGCCGTCTCTAGACGTGGGTGTCTGGGGCTGCTGGGCTGTGCGAGCTGTAACCTCACCTGGGCAGCTGCCACTTCCTCGGGGGGAGACCTGGGCTCCCGGCTCCGCGGAGGCCCGCCAGTGCCACCCAGTGGCCAACGATGCCACAGCACCACAACCGCCTGGCCCTGGGACAAGGCCCCAGTCTCGTGCTCCTTGGGAAGCGGCCGATTAGAGTGCATACACATGAACCTGCGCTCTGGGCTAGGCTTCACCCAAAACAGCTCGTCTGCGTTACAGACAGTGGCCAGATCCAGCAGAAACCGCTCCATCTGGGGCAGTGGCCTGACCCACAGGGGCAGCTTTTCGTCCTGTAGCTGCTGAGGTCCCAGCAAGTTAAGTCCTGCCTGGCCTGGTGCTCAGGCGTCACTGGCCTTCCCCACAAGCAGGCCCCAGAGTGTGGGAGCTGAAGGAGGCTTTGCAGCCGGACTGGCTTAGGCTCAGCTCCCGGCAGGCTGTCTCAGCACCGTGGGCAGGTTCTGGGGGCATTCGGGCACCTCCCCTCTGCTGACCAGAGGGGTCCCGCGGTGCCTGGGGGCATCAACCATCTCCTGAAGACACCTTTGTGTGCTTTTCTAGACTGGTTACACGATTATTCCTTGTCCTTGTGTGAATTTATACACGGTGTGATACGTTCAGTCAATTCAGAGGAGGAATTTGCAAACTCAATGTCAACTCTTCTCAGAAATACTAGCGTTTCACTGTGCGGACATTGCAGTGCTCCACCAAACGGTCACTGGCAGCAGCTAACACAACTCTGGTTTGCGATGGGACCAAATGCAGCTTGTGTCTGCAGCACTTGCCGCATTGGGCCTTTGGCACATTTGAAACATTTCAAAGTAGAAGAGGGTCATGTCCCAACTTGCTGGTGGAGTCCATCAGTCTCAGAGCATTGTACTAATAATTTGCTTATTTGCCTAATTGTGCCTATTTACATACTTCCCAAAGTGCAGGTAAGGGATAACAGAAGTTGAGTATAACTAGTAGCAATTAGTTCTATAAGATAGCAACGTGATGGTCAAGGAAAGCCATCCTGTACTTTTTAAATAGATTGTGTTTATTTACCATTAAACCATTCGTGGATAAAACGTCACTTCAGTCACGTATTTTGGGAATGTCCTAAAAATAATCTTGACTTGGCTTTTTGCTGAATGGGGAAATACTGGTTAGACCAGTGGCAGTATTGATCTTCGATTCTGATCAGGACACCTTGCAGTAAGTGCTTTTAAGGTTAAATTTTTCATCTGCAGCCACTTAAATGTCTGGTGTCATGGACACAGGTGTCTTGTACATGACCAGCCTCACTGGGGTTTCTGAAGTGCCTTAGGCCGGCTTTTTAAGTGTGCTCTTAAAGTACACTCAGCAGAGTTGGTCTTCAAGAAGGGCAGGGACTGAACTGGTTCTGGGCCTCACTTTTCTCAGTGGCTGCTCGAGGTCCGCGTGCCGTGGGCCTTGCCATCCTGGCCCCTTGTCCCTGCTGTGCCACCTATCCCTCCCAGCCCCGGCTTCCTCAAGAAAAGGGACTGCCATCTGTTTGATTTAACCCCAAACTAGCCATCCCCCAGGCAAGGTGGACCTTGCAGCCAAATCTGAGCTGGTAAAAAGTGGTTTCTAAATGCTGGGGTATGCTACCGTAGCCCAAGGCTTAAACACGCAACATGACGAGGTACTCGGGAACCTGTTTGCCGCGGTCCTGCCGCATGCCTATTGTTTACTCTCTGAGACGTCCTCATTGCTTTGTCACATGCTTTCTTTAAAACTCCAGCTCCCAGGGACACGGGACGTTGAGAGGTGTGGCCCCTGGTGACCATGGGCACGGGTGATGGGGAGCAGAGTGGATGTGGTGCAGGAGCCAGCTGCTCTGGGGGTGGAGGGCCTGAGGCTGCCGGCAAGGCCCAGGTTCCGGAGGACAGGCCACCTTGGGCAGGGGCGGGCGGGACGCATGAAGTCGGAGGGCTTTGTGGGCTGAAGATTCAGGATTTAAAGTCCTAATTGACGCCTGGTAGCAAAGTACTCAGAGCACTGTCCCTAGGTGGGATCCATGTGGGAGTGCTGTTGTTGGAAACTTCGTAAAATGAGGAAGTTGTGTTTCTCCTGAAAGTGGGGAAAAGTTGAGGTGCCAGGGCCTTTAGCTCCCATTGCAGCGCTGGCCTCCCCGGCTGCTCGAGGAAGGACGACCTTGAGCAGTGGCTCTGGCCCTCTGCCAAGATGGCCAAGGACCCATGGTGGCCTCGGGGACACTGTTCATTGGGTTGGGCTTCTGTGGGTAGGATCTCCTCTTTTCCCTCAGATTTGAGGCCTTCTCCCTCGTTCGTTCGAACAGTGACTGGTGACTGAGTGAATGATTTTTAATCCCTGGGAAAACCCGAAAGATCGCCGGAGCATGTGTTGAAGCTCCTTGTTTTGGTGTTTGGGAGGCTCCCCAGTACAGAGTCTGAGAGAAGCCTGTACTAGGGGACGGAGTTCGTCCGGGGGTCCTTCTGGTGACTTGACTGCCACCCTAGACGCGTCCCCACAGGGTGTCCTGGCCTGCTTACTGTGCCCGCTGTTCCGGTTCGCTCTGTCCCTCTGCAGGGTGTGGAGCCGTGGCCATCTGTGGCCTTGCTGTGTGCACAGATGCCACGGCTCCCTGGCCGGCTCTGCCCCTGGAGGCCTCGCTGGCCCTGGGGCCAAGGGGCCGCAGCACTGGCCCCCAGCCGTTGTCTTGCTCGCCCGAGACCTTGATGGAGATGGTCTGATACAGTGTGGGTATAATTAGTCCTTTACATCCTCTCTCTGGAGAAAAAGTACCGGCATCACAAAGATTTTTGTGCAGGTTGAGGGGTTTTGACTTACGTAGCTTTCTATTGCAGTCCTTGTTTAGACCAAAAACACTAATGTATTGTTCTACCCAAAATGGGGTCCAAGCAGAGGGCTGTCCTTGGGGCCGCCAGTCACACAGCCTCTCTGAGTGTCAAGTGACTGACCTTCCCTGTGCTGCAAATCCCCATCTGCTTTCCCTCTTTATCCACATCCTCATTTCCACTTGACTTTGATCCAGACAGCAAAGAGCACCTGCATGCTACCCCAGGCCCTGTGGTCCGTCCTCCCGAAGCCCCAAGAATGGGCAGGGGGCAGCTGAACGTCCATTTAAGGGGAATGTGTCTGTCTGACCTGTCCTGAGATTTCCTCAATTCGTGTTTACAAAAACTGACGCTTGAAATCTTAAAGAAAGTGCTCTTCCACATCATTTTATTGATGCGCAGTTTGCCTTTCGGCTTTTAAGCTGTGTTCGTGATTTAAATTAAGCTTGTCATGACTAGGGTTTGTTGCTTGAAGTAAAAGGTTTAACATAATGATATATAGCAAAGCATATTTTTCTGAAATAAGGTGTGGTCACGGTCATCCATATTGGTGGCAACCCTTCATTGTAGCACTTTTTTCCTGGACTTAATAGTTAATTATTTTAAGTTGCTCTCCCACAGTAATGTGGCCTCACTAAGCGTGTGCGCATCTTTTTTGCAGCCACGAAGGAGGACAGGCGGGTGGAGGAGAGGACCACGGCTCCTAAGAAAATGGCCCCTGCGGGCCCCTCGGCAGGCAGCAGACAACCTCTGCCCAGAAATCTCCTTCCAAAGAAGTCTCCACCCTTCGCAAACGCAGCGGCAGCCAAAGTGGCCATCAAGAAGTCGCCCTCGGGTTTCAAGGGCCCTGGACCCAAGCGGCCCTGGCTCTCGGCCACCCCCTCGGCCGGCGCTCCTGCCGCCAAGCAAGCAGCGCTGGCGCCTGGGGCTGCCGCAGCTGCTTCCAAAAAGCTACCCAGCTCGGCCGCGTTGGCGGGGGCCATCCGGAAGCCAGCGGCTGCCTCTGTGCCCTTGGCTTCTCCAGCCCCAGGACGCCTGGGGACCTCGAACCCTGCCCTGTCGCAGCCAAATTCGCAAATTCGGCAAAATATCAGACGCTCCTTGAAGGAGATTTTGTGGAAAAGGTGGGCTGTTCTCCTTGATTTCTTAAAGTGGTTGAGTGTGATCATTTTGTGACTGTCACGCTTTAAGGCCCATGCGGGAGCAGTGGTTCATGTGGCCTGTTCTTGTTCCTTCTAGAGTCAACGACAGTGATGACTTAATCATGACAGAAAGTGAAGTAGGAAAAATCGCCCTCCACATTGAGAAGGAGATGTTTAACCTGTTCCAAGTCACAGATAACCGCTACAAGAGCAAATACCGCAGCATCATGTTCAACCTCAAGGACCCCAAAAACCAGGTGTGTGCAGGCGGCCCAGAGTGGGGCTTGCCGGCTCTCGGGGTCTCCCAGGCACACCTCACAGCGTTCATCTGGATACGGCATCTGGAAGTTCTCGTCCTTGCAGTGCAAGCCAGAGGGCCGCCATCACACCTTCCCTGGGCTCAGGGTGCGGGTTCGCACACACACTCTCAGGCCCGGCCTGGTCTCACCAGCTGCTTCTCTCCTAAACGTGGCTGTGAAGTTACGTTCGTAACATTTCCTTGGCTCCAAAGTAACATCCAGATTCTTAAGCGTATGAGTATCTCTGTATTTGGGCTTCAGACAGCCTTTTCGGCCTTCTTACCGTCCCCTCAGTTGAGCGAGCCCCCCGATCGGGGCTTCCTTAGAGCAACGATGAGTGGTCTTGAACATGCCCTGCGGTGCTCCCCACTTGGGCAGGTGCTGTGTGCTCGCATGGTGGGAGGGCCTGAGTCCTCCCAGCAGCCGTGGGTGGGCAGTGCGCGTCCAGTGGGGTTGAAAGGAGAGTTCCTGGGAAAGCATTAGCCACTTGCCCGGTGTGGGTCCCCTGCCTCTCGCCCTCCGGGGCTCGCCGTCTTCGGGCCTCCTGTCCGACGGCCTCACGAACTCTTCCATGTGCTGCGAAGCAGAGTCTCACTTCCTGTCTCATCATGGTAACCTCGTGGAAGAAGCTATTTCTTGCTACCTTTATTCCTAACTCTGTACCTTTTTGAGTTGATTCTGTTCTCTCTGAGGTCTTTTTGGCAGAGTCGGTGCAGCGTGGTGCACGAGGGCAGCTAGCCGACTCGTGCTGGTGGTGTCTGGCCCCTGCTGGGCTCGGTCCTGTGCGTCAGGCTTCCGTCCGCTGCCGCTGGGCTTCTGGTGGAGGCTTCTCCCGCTGCTGTGGTTTTCTTGTATTCTCTCTGGTGTCTTAGAGGCAGACACCCAAGTGTTTCTGAGCAAGCGAACTAAAGATGTGTGTTTATAGGGGCTCTTCCATCGTGTTCTGCGTGAGGAAATCTCTTTGGCAAAACTTGTGAGAATGAAGCCGGAAGAGCTGGTATCTAAAGAGCTGTCCACGTGGAGGGAGCGGCCAACCAAGCCCGTGAGTGCCATGGGGGGTGGCGCTCGGTGCTGGGCCTTCTGGGTCTCCAGGGCGTCAGCTGAAGGGCGAGGCACGAGCAAGGCACCCTGAACAAGGTTTCATGCTCTGTGCCCTTTTCGTCTCAGGTGATGGAGTCCAGAAATAAGCTGCACAGTGAGAACAAGAAGACCGCCACTAAACAGGACCCTGTGCCCGACATGGAGGACTCTCCACCCGTGTCCGACTCCGACGTAAGCCTTGGGGACTTGGGGAACGAACGAGAATGGAATGAAAGTAATCTTCCCAGGGTACTTAGGTCTCTGAGTTATCGGGCAAGACCCTGAGCTTGTGACAAGTGCTGTATGCAGCGGCCCTCCTCCTCGTCTTTGTGCCAGTGGCTGTTCCTAGCCCGGGCAGCTTCTGCGCTGTTGCCGTGGAGACGGAGGGACGCGTGACCTGCTCAGCTGTCCCCTCTTCGCCCTGCAGGAGCAGCAGGAGTTGGTGCGGGCCATGCCGGAGAAGAGCACCGCACCCCTCCTGGACGTCTTCAGCAGCATGCTGAAGGACACCACGGGTCAGCACCGGGCTCATCTGTTTGATCTCAACTGCAAAATCTGCACAGGTGAGCGCAGTCTGGGGCACGAACCTTCGGAGCTGAGGCTTCGTTTCCTTTTGCCTCAGTCACCGATCCTCCTAATCGTGATCGTCCTTTCTGAAGTGTATGGCGTTAGTCTCTATAATGTTGCTTCTGGGGCGCCTGGGTGGTTCGGTCGGTTCAGTGTCTGCCTTCGGCTCAGGTCGTGGTCCCGGGGTCCTGGGGTCGAGCCCCGCATCGGGCTCCCTGCTCCGCGGGAAGCCTGCTTCTCCCTCTGCCTCTCCCTCTGCTTCTGCTCTCTCTCCTTCGCTCGCTCACTTTCTCAAGTAAATAAAATCTTAAAATGTTGCATTTTTTTATTCTTATAAGAAATTATCTACTTGGGGGCAAGCTGTGCTCTTGAATGTGTGGGATTTCTCAGGAAGGCCTTCCTCATGTTCTTCAGGTCAGGTTCCCTCATCAGAAGATGAGCCAGCTCCAAAAAAACAAAAGTTGTCAGCTTCTAAGAAGGAAGAGTCAAAATCCAAGTATGAGACCTCTCTCTCTGAGCCAGTTCTTAGCTCAGCTGATGAAGCGATACCAGAAACTCTGCCCGAAAATGCCTCTGAGCCAGACCTAGAAAGTGCTTCTCACACGCACCCGGAGAGAAAGTATTTCCCCGTGCCGCCAGGAGACAGCCACCCAGAATCCTCCGCCCTGGAAGGCCCCTCCTGCCCAGCGACATGTGGGGGCCCGGTGCTCACCACGGTCACGGTGTCCGGCCGAGACCCCAGGACTGCATCTAGCGGGTCGTGTACAGTCACGGCCCCTGCAGCAGCCCGCCCAGATGGTGCCCACCCAGCGGAACCCCGACAAGACGTCCTGAAGCCCACTGTGACCTCGGTGACGGTGCCCAAGTCCATACTAGCTAAGCCGTCCTCGTCCCCTGAGCCCAGATACCTCCTGCCGGTGGCGCCGCCGCGCGTCAGGTGCGCTGCATGTGCCACACGAACAGGCCACGGGTTCCATTTCCCATGGATCAGCCGAAGGAACGGGCGGTGGGGGGGTCCTGTCGTTCAGCTCCAAGCCACCCGGAGTACAGCTGCACTCTGATAGTTTGCAGGGGCATGAGAAGGCCTGGTTTTAGCATGCCTGGTCCTTATTTTAAACACACATCTTGAAAACTGAAATGTGGTCTTACGGTCATTCAGGTTTGTTGCATGTTCAGTTTATTTTTTCTTGACCAGAATGTCCACGGCATTATGGTTAAAGTAGCTAATTTGAAAAAGCTACCAAAACTTGCAGGAATTTAGTCTTGCCTTTATAATTCCATAAAATCTCTATACTTTGGAAATTGAGCAGAGAGAAAGATTGATCTGTTTTCTCTGGTTTTGTTTTACAGCCTCTCCGAGTCAAGGTCCCCTCCAGAAGGAGATACAACCCACTTTTTGTCTCGACTCAGCACCATTTGGAAAGGATTTATTAACATGCAGAGTGTAGCGAAATTTGTCACTAAGGCGTATCCCGTGTCGGGGTGCTGTGACTATCTCAGTGAGGTTAGAGCTGAGAGTGAGAGCGTGTGTGTGTGCACGTGCGTCTTCCTTAGCTAGCTGTTCTACCCAGTGTCGGGGTCAGGTGTGTGGCAGCCTTCCAGCAGAGGGTCCGGATGCATGCGCACTCTGAAGGCACCGTAGAACCTGCTATCGTGAGTCAGCAGGTTAAGCGGTTTGGACACTGGTAGAAATTCAAATGAGAAGTGTCCCAACATTTATGAAAAAGCTTGGGTCGTTTTCCTCCTCCCTCTGTTCAGCGAGGGCATTGAGCCAGTGTGTGTGCATTGCTGGCTGAAGGCGGGGCAAGGCACGTGTGACTGTCTTGGTGTGGACACACCACAGCTCTTCACTGTCCCAAAATCAGCGTGAACAGCACTAGTACGCACAACCTTAGCGAGCAGAAGTAAGTCGCTTCCGGATCGTGTCCGAGTCCTTGCTTTGCGTACACATTCACAACAGATAACCTAGAAATGTTCTGCAAAACATATTCCCGTTTGGCAGAAGGCCATCATGCTGTGCTCATTCCTGGGGACCCGTAATCCTGGATGCTAACCAACCAATATTTAGTGCTAGTGTTAACCATTTTCTGTGGAGGAGTTGTGGTCTTCTTGAATCTCGGGTAGCTTGGTGCCTTGAAATTACTACGTCAGTCTAAAGTGCTGCAGTTTTACTGGTCATTTACCCAAAGTACGTTTTGTTTAGGACCTGCCGGACACGATTCACATTGGTGGAAGGATCACACCCAGAACAGTTTGGGATTATGTCGGCAAACTCAAATCTTCTGTGTCTAAGGTACCTGCCATAGTCTAATCTCTGCACCCGTGGAGGAAGGCGTTTGTGTAAATGCAAGTCTTTCTTGATGGGTTAGTACTTGCAACGTCAGCCTATAAGTTATTAAATGTTGCCAGGTAAATGTTTAAAATGACATTTATAGCGGGATAACTGTGTGTTTGGGTAACACGGTAATGGCAGTTTTATTACAATTTACATTAATGTGTGTGCGGTTCAGGGTCGGTGAGAAACACAGGCACCATGTCTCCCCATTGTTTCTGTGACTGAGGGAGCTGGCAGGTGCCGGAAGGTGACCTGGCTCCCGCAAGGCCCGGGCCCTGGGTCTGGAGGCTCTGAGCCCCGGAGTTGCAGCCACAGCTGGGCATGCATGCATGGGGAAGGGCTGCGGTTTTCCTCAGGCGCACGTGGGGCTCAGACCCTCTGGTCTCGTTGAGCCTTCCCGTTATGGAGCCGCACTCGGCTCTTGTGTAGGTCACACAGCCAGGTGATCGGGACCACTGTCCTCACAGTCCGCGTCAGACTCTGCTCTAGGCCAGCACCGCAGCGGATGACATGTGGTCCAGGGACACACAGGAAGGGCTGTTTCGGGAATAGCGGGGCTAGGAGTAGAAGTGGTCTTCAGGAGATTGCCGCCGAAACCAAGGTTTGAATCCAGCAGCCCGATGCTGGGGCCCCTGCTGTCCCTCCCACTCCATCATCCTGATGCACCGGGTGACGGCAGGACTGTGGGGACCGGGCCGAGAAGCGCTCGTTTCTCTCGTTTCAGACGGCCTTTGAGGTTTAGATGGAAGCTGAGCGCGCATGCCTGCTCCGAGCAGCCGCGGGCCAACGCTCTCTCGCCCTGTCTCTGTGCTGCAGGAGCTGTGTTTGATCCGATTCCACCCCGCGACCGAGGAGGAGGAGGTGGCCTATATCTCTCTCTACTCCTATTTCAGCAGCCGTGGCCGCTTTGGTGTTGTAGCTAATAACAGCAGGCACGTCAAGGACCTCTACCTGATCCCACTGAGTGCTAAGGACCCCATTCCATCCAAACTCTTGCCCTTTGAGGGACCAGGTAAGCGCCAACTTTGTGAGTGGTGACTGTGCACACCTGACCCCACACGTCCCTTTCCTTCCAACACCACGCGGGCAGATCTGCCACCTCACCCAGACCGTGGCTTTCTAGCAGCAGGAACGAGGAGTGCAGATGGAGCCCCGTTTAGCTCTAGAGCTCGGCTTCTGGGATACCGGAGGGCGGCGCTAGAAATGCCCTTCCTGTTGGCGTGAATTGTCTTAGAAAAGTGACATGAAGAGGGGAAAATCCCACAGCGTCCAGCCAGCTGGTCATGGCCTCAGGTCAGTGGAGGCCAGAAAAGGGCCGGACAGGAAGGTGATCCTCACAGCTGGCTTGGGGGATGCTTGTGCTTGCCCCGCAGCTCCGGGGTGGGCAGATGCCAGGCAAGAGATACAGGAAAGCTATTCTGTGTTTGTTCATTCCTTAGAAAGCGGTATTTTTAGAAGATTATTTACAAATTAGTTCTTTAAAAAAAAAAAAGAGCTCAGATGTGTCAAGGGGTTGAGGGTGATTCCAAAGGGGACATGGTGTGTGAGGGGCCCACTCCTGTTAAGCCCTGAGAAGTCCACGTGACTGAGTACGCAGCTGGCAGAAGATGCCCACATTGAAGTGTCTCCTTGGTCATGAAGTCCCCGAAGGACGGAGACACCGGAGAACGCACGGTGAACGCTCTCGAGGTGCTTTGTTGTTCTAGAGCCACGGCTGAACGCCAGGCCCTTGCTGGCGCTGCCTAGACCTGGCACCTCTGTGGCCCTGGCCCTGTCGCCAGTCCCGGCCAGTGTTCCCGCCACAGCCGCATGCCGTACTCACCGCACCTAAACCGTAGCTAGGCCCAGCAGGGCTGCTCGGGCCAGGGCGCGCCACCCACACGCATGTCCGGGTCCCGACCGGAGTGTGTTCTTAGCGCTTGAGCCGGGCTCGGTTGGTCCCTACATGTCAGAAGCCGGCCCACAGTGCTGTGGGCTGGTATCCGTAACTGGGGGGGTAGATAGCTGCCAGCACACTCCAGCGAGTCACCTTAATGCCGAGTACAGTTTAAAAGCAAAGGACTTGAGGGGGTCCTCTCGCGAACCCTTGGGGTGAAGAGACGCCCCCTAGCGGGTGGCAGAAAGAACCTTGCTGGAGGTTCTTGGCGAGCAGCTGTGTGCAGCGTGCTGGCCCGCTCCCCGGATGACCGTCCTGAGTCCCCGAGGGTGAAGAGGAAGAAGCTGGCCTCCCAGGCCCTGTGAAGAGCCTCCAGTCAGTCACCAGCATAGAAGCTCGTATGGAGGATGTAGCGTAAGCAGAAGCGTAGGGTTCCCTGGTAACACAGACACTGGGTGTTCACAGAGCCGCGGCTGAGATCCGCAGCCTCCCTGAAGCCGGGCTAAAGCTCCTCCTGCCGCCCCAGCTGCGAGGTCCGCAGGGGGTGAGCTTCCCGGAGATGTCACTGTCGGGAGCAAGCGGAGGCCTGTGTGGAGGTCCCGCTGGGTCAGGGCTGCAAGGAGCTGGGCTTGATGCGGAGGCAGGAGCAGGCTCCCTGCAGTGGACAGGTGAGGAGACCCTCCAGCAGAGCCGCGGCGGGGGGAGCCCAGCTGGCAGAGGGGCGGGGGTCGCAAGGGACACTTCCAGGGTGACACAGGGACAAGGAGGGCGGTGGGGTGGGTGGCACGCGCCAGATCCACTAAGCGTGATGGCCACTGACCACCCGGACACGCTCGGTGACCGGCCACCTGCACTCCTGAAGCTCCAACACCACCCGAAGGGCTACCCGGATGACCCACAGACTTCCATCCACAGTAAATACAGGACAGGAGGGAGGGCTTTAGAAACGTAGTCATCAGTGAAATTGTGCTTATAAGCTTTTGAAGATTTTTTGTAATTTAAGGGACTTCTAGGTTTAACTGTATTTAGCATATATTTTTTTATTCTTCTGATACCCCTATTGCCATCATGACCTGTGTGTATTTTATACACTTTCCTAGTAAACAACCTGGAGCCCCGGCCAGGTTCTCTGCCTGACCTGCGTCACGTACCCATAGCGTGACTTGGCGCTCTTTAGATCCAACTGGCCGTGTGTCCTGGTTTCGTGGTGTGTGCCGCGTGTGAAAGGCTGGGCGTGGGCGTGTGTCTCCCGTCGTGGAGGTCCCTGTCCTCGCAGAGTCAGTCTCTGCGTGGCACCCCCGTGAAAGCGTGGCGTCCCTCAGCAGAACAGCCGGCGAGCACTGCCCAAGCCTGATGGGGGCGCCCTTGACTCCCACCACAGCCCACTCTCCCGGGGAGTCCCCTGCGCTGCCCACAGTTGTCGCTTGCCTGAGGTCGCACACCCCGTAGTCGCTTGTGCCCGGGTCTGCACCTCCCCCGTCTGTCACGCTCGGTCTCTGCGCAGCACACGAAGCGCAGGCCTCGGCGGACACGGGACTCCGGCTCCGGCAAGCCACCGGTTTGGGTGAGGGGCCTGCTGTGTAAGCAGGAGGCGGGGAGGGTGTTGCAGAAGGGCGTGACCGGCTCTCCCTGAAGCTCGGTTCGTGGAGAAAAGCTACAGGTGCCCTCACCTCCTGGACTCGCGGGCCCCGTAGATGTCGTCCATGTGGGATTCTCCCCAAACTCCTGCTGTCCACACTTGAGAAGCAGGACACAGAAGGCTCCTAACCTGGGGACTCCGCATGCGCCTGCCCCTCGGCCAGTGCTGAGTGTTTCCCCAGCGTCGGGCTCCTGACAGTAAACATGGAGCGTGTGTCCACACGTGGCCGCTCCTCGGCCCACACACCAGGTGTCCACGCAGCGTGTCAGGACACACCGAGAGCACGCTCAGCTTCTCTGAGGACGTTTTTGTCCGTGTGAATTTGTAGGATTTGTCCATTAGAAATACCAGGTTGTCTTGTTCTGTCCCACGTGTCATTCTTAATAACCTGACGGCACAGTTTCAGAAGACACCTGGAAAGCCCGAGTTTCTGATCCAGCTGACGTTGGACGTTCATCTTACGGCCCCCTGTGACCCCGGCAGGCCGGGACCGAGGGACTCGGTAGGGCGCAGGCTCCAGCCTGGAGCACCTGTGGAGTGGTGGTGGGCTTCCAGGATACGCACGGGGAGGGGGGTGGGGAGGGAGGGCAGGGAGTCCGCCTGCCGGGTGCTTAGTGCGGAGGGCGGTTTCCATGAACCCTGTAAACCCATGGTGCCGTCTTCTGCATTCACTCTAACTGCTTTCTAACTAGCTGGAAACTTCTGTGAGGTGCAGTCCTGCCAGGTAAGCGCTCCTCAGTTTTCCTGTGTGCGTGTGTGTGTGAGAAAGAGTCATGGCTGTGCCCACGTTCTCAAAGTCAAGTATGGTATTGAATTCAATGTACCACTTTCTTCTTCGAAATCAATAAAAATATTTCATGGAAACTGGTCACTGTTTGTTTGAATTTGAACCATTTGGTAGCTCTTGGTACCTGTTACAGGTCCACTGGGATGGAGGACGAAAGTCTCCACCTTTATTTTTTATAAGCCAACACGACCCCCCCTTTGGGCGTGTAGCCCGGACGAAGACAGACAACGCTCTCCTTTTACCTGAAACGCGCGCTGGGCCCAGTGGCTTTGTACGGGGTCTTAGGGATTCAAAATTGGAAAGAGGGAGAGGTGCGTGTGTGCGCGTGTGTGTTATGTGTGTGTGCGGTGGGGGTGCAGGGTTGGGGGAGGTATATGGTGTCTCCCCTGTATTTGCCAAGTCTCTTTCTAGGCAAGTCATACTTCAGAACTATGGCCTGTTAACTCCCACACAGTTTCTGTTTAGCAGGAGTGAAAATTTTGTTTTGATGGATTCAGACTATAAGAGTTTTCATTTTAAAAAAATAGAGTGCCAGATAGATTTGGGGGTAAGAGCATTTTGGTAGTTTTGGGTTCGGGAGTCCGCTTTCAGGTAGTTTAAAACAAAGTTTTGTCCCATGCTGTGTCAGGCTTGAGGTGCTTGGGGGCGGCCCAGGGCCATGCTCCCAGCCCCTTCACCTTCCCTGGCCTCCCTGCCGCTCACACGCAGGAACACAAATCCTGGCTCGGGTCTGGTGTCAGGAAGTCCGTTGGCACACGGCGGGGCAGATGTCCCCAGTCCCTGGGTTTGCCCACTTTTTCTGTACGGGTCTGATTCCAGCCGTGGAGACTTGAGGCTAGAGACCTTCCACTGAGAACATTCGGGGATGCCTGCATACTGCCTACAACCACAGAGGCTTGTGCGACCCACACAGTCCCCTGAAGACACATCTGCTCCGGCATTTCGGAGCGGGTGGGTGCCGACACCCTTGTTCCGAGTGATCACTCCTCTGGAAATGGAGAATGGCACCCCTAGCTGCAGCTCCTGTTGCAATCTCCCACCCACCTAGTTGCTTGTTTTCATCGGCTTTATGAATTAACAAACTTAACATCCCTCAAAAGGGCGGTGGGTAAGTAAGCATCTCTGCTTCTAATGATGGACAGAGGGAGGAATTTTGCAAAAGCAGAGAAGCAGCCCTGTGCCCTGGGCTGGAGCCCTTGGTCTCCACGCTGCAGCCGGTGTGGCCACGGCCGCTGCTGCACCTGCTCGGACACCCTGTCCTCTCCAGGGGAGCACTTGGCAGTGGGCAGGCCTGCAGAGGGCCCTGGCTGGGAGTGGGACGTTCTGGAGGAGAGCCGGCCCTCTACTGCCTCCCCAGGTGTGGGCACCCATTTGCTCTTGCCCAAGGTCACCCTGCCTGCCACCTGCCCTGTGGCAGCAGAGGGCAGGGTCGAGTCGGGCGCACCCTCATCTCAGTAAAGGTGGATCCTAAGGCCCGAGACAGATCAGTGAATTTTATTGTTCCACAAATGTCAGTTATTGCCAAGGTGCTAGTTACACTTCAGATATTTGTGCAACCATAACATGAACACACAATTCAGATGATAAGATCTGACTACTTCAAAACAGACGTATGCATTTTTGTGACCACCCAGTTTAAATTTAAAATCTTGGCGAAATTCAAAACTGGAACTACGAGTCTGGAACTTCGTTAGATCACTTACAGATCTGTGCAGATGAGGTAGTTGAGAGTTGAACGCTACTTAATTAGATGCCAATGTCCAGAGAGCTCGCTGCTGTCAAAACAAATGTAAATACTGAGTAATTTAACCATCTTGCCTGTGATGACTAGGACAGCAGAGGTTGGAACCTGCAGAGCGTTGCCGAGGTTAGGTGTAGTGATTGTTTTCTCCAGTCAGCCCGTGAAACTGTCGGGGAGTTTTAGTTGGAAGGGCACACTTCACCAGACCCCAGACCAGGTCTTCCTGGGTTCAACACCGGGACTGGCCCGTCACGCACAGCTTACTGACCTGAGACCTGACCCCCAGCCACAAGCCTTGACGTTGGTGCGCCAGGAGTTGGGCTTTTCCTTAAGAGGGGCACAGCCCTCTGCGTTGAGTGCAGTCGTGGGGACTTCCCCTCCACAAGGCTCCCCAGCCCTTGCTCGCACCCACCCACGCGGCTGAGTACACTCCTTCACTTGGGCTCGCGTGTCAGTTCCTCAGGGAGAGCCAGGCACCAGACACTCGGTCCAGAATGGCCACGAGAGAGCCGTTTCAGCAATTGATCATACCCAAAACTGGATCTGAGTAAGCAAATGTTCAGTAAATGGCTGTAGGGTAAGAGAGATGTCATTCGAAGTTAAAATACCCTTAACTCATGTTAATTAGGGAATGAACTTGATAGATTACCCTTCATGTCTGCTGAGCAGAAACATTCGGATAGGACACTCAGGGTGGGCTGCCTGACCTTCCAGTCTCTATTCCCTCCTTTGCCAGGCTCTTCCTTTCCTGGATACACAGCATTGGGGGAGGGGGGGGGGCGGCCAGGGAGAGAATGTTCTGGAAGCCAGGTCTCTAATGAAGGTGCTGTTCAGGTCCTGGTGTGTTAGGTCCATGGGCATCCCGCTCTCACGCACGAGCCTGTGAAGCAGGCCCTTCCCGATGGGGGGGAGGGAGGGTAGCACTAGGTTGTGTGCGCAGAGGCTCCGTCTCCCCACCACACTCTGGCATACCTGATTTTCCTCCTCGGGGGCTGGATGGGCCATCTTCCACCCTCGTGTGCTCCGCCTGTCAACCCAGCTCTATTGGAATTTGGGAAGATTAACAGACATTTTGGAATTATACAATGGTGTCCAAAAACAACTATTTGACTTGTGATCATCTTTAAAACCAAAAAGAATGGGAAAACTACTGATTTTCAGTAAGTGAAAGCTGAATACTACAGCAACAACGTATCAGGTGAATTCATACAATTTGATTTTAAGTGTCTTACGCTATTGACAAATTTTTGCATATCATTTCTCCCTAAAATTACTGTTTTGCGACTTGGGTTTTTTTGTTCCTCTTTTGGTGTTCTGGATTTATTATGAGCGTGGGGCGGAGAATCATTATTGAAATATTAACACTCCTGATGTACGATTCAGAATGGAATAATCTTTTTTTATTTAAGAAATGATTATGTTTAAGAGCTGTCCTGTGCCCAGAAACCCCAGGGTCTTCCGCGTGGCCAGTTTCCTGAACACCCTGCGCTTGTGTCTCAGTGCCGTCCTGTGCTTACAGAGACCGTGAGCACTACTTAGCTCTTGTTAACTGAGTGCCTTTCTAAACCGAGAAGAACATTTATGTTAGCCATTTCAGTCAGCACGGTCCTTCCCATTCACTGCGACTTGGACACCAGCAGCTAGTGAACTTACCTAATGGCATGTGCGGAGGTGAGCATCGTAACCAAGTTGTCGGACTGGCCCCCTGATCGAACCTTCAGCTTCATTTCTGTAGAGCAAATCCTCAGTTAAGACAGGACAGGCTATTGCCTTTCTGATGTGTTAGCAAGAGGCAAATAAAAGAACACAGCTAAGATCTTGTTGAAAAACCCTCCTAGTGCACCTTGCCTCACTCCCTGTAGGTTAGCAGATGTTGATATTTGCATAATGGCCTTCCCCACCTCCTCTCTCCTGCGGCTGCTTTAGCAGTGTATCTGGTGTTTAGATCTATAACGTAAATTGTGACAATCGGGTGAATTTACGCGTGAGCTGGGCCCTGGGCTCTGTGGTCGTGGC